CATTTGTTTGTTCGTTTGTTTATTGTTCCTGCTCTAACAGGATCCCAACTCTCTGTTTTTTCACGTGTGTTTATATACACTTCTCTTTTCTTTTCTGTTTATAGGAATTAAACTAGTCATAAATCCACCGCCAGTTCCTTTCCCAGTTGCTTTCCCTTTTCCACTGGTAATAATGCAACTACTCATCAGTTACTACATCACTTCCTTATTTCTATTTATAATGACAAAACCAGCAGCAAAATCCATAAAATAACAGAACGAATCATAAATCCTTACACTTTCGTCTGTGATTTCTTTGCTGCCAACGACGTACGAGGCGCCGATATGTGGTACACGAACGGTGTATTCCAGTTGTCTCGATGTATGTCTTCTTGTTCGTTCTTCCATCCCCTCTTCTCTTTCTTCTTTTTCTTGTTGCAGTTGTTGTTCTTTTTCTTGTTGCTGTTGTTGTTCTTCCTCTTCATCAGACGGGCAACCAATGGGATTTACTAGGACTGTTCCTTGAGGTTGATAACGAGGATCGAACGGGAATGCTGCTGCTACACTAGCTAAGAAACTGCCTTCTCTTCTTCTCCTCCTTCTCCGCCGCTGCACTCTCTTACGCTGTGCAGCACTAAGACCAGTAGAAGGACCCTCGTCACCAGAATCTGTAACACGTGTATCTTCTTCGGACTTTTCCTTTTCTTCTCCTGCTCTTGTTCCTACTTCTGATTCATCATCGGACAAAAACGGGCTGAGGAAAGGCAGCCAATCGTTTTCAGTCGAATCTATTTGGCGTACTTGCCTCTCCTTCCCTCCTCTTTCTTCTTTCCTTCTTCGTTTCCTTCTTTTTGTCTCCTCGTTTCCCGCCTCTTCCTCTCGTTCTCCTATGGACTGCATATCTTGCATGTCTGTTAGTAATGCCAGCCATCCAGCGTAATCTAATTCTTCTGTTGCTATACTCCCCTCATCTTCTGCTAACAAATCCCCGACGTATAGCACCATGTGCTGGTGCAGTTCTTCTACTGCATCTTCTTCTTCTGTTGTTGCTGTAGGCGACGCCGTTTCTGTTGTTGACGACTCTTCTGTTGTTACATCAGCACCATCATGATCCCCAGCAGCATAGAGAGGAGATAAGGGGGAAAAAGGCTCTCCCTCCACCTCCGGTAACGCCTCTTGTCTCGTCCAGCCTCGTCCACGCTGGTTTACTAGGACTAGTCCTTTAGATGGCTGACTAGGATCGAATCTAAAACTTCCTACTGCCCTACCTATGAACTCTCTTTCTGTTCTTCTCCTCCCTCCCCGCCGCTGAAGTCTCGTAAGCAGTGCAAAACTAGGACCAGTAGAAGGACCCTCGTCACCAGAATCTGCAAAGGATGTATCTTCTTCTGAGATTTCCTCTTCTTCTCCTGCATATAGTCCTACTTCTGATGCATCATCAGACCAAAGTGGGCTAAGGTCAGGAGACTCACTGCTTCCAAACGAATCTTCTCGGCGCACTTGCCTCCCATGCCCTCCTCGTTTTTCTTGCCTTTTTTCTTTCCTTCTTTTTGTCTCCTTCTTGTTTCCCGTTTTTTTCCCTCGTCCTTGTACGGGTATATGTTCCTCTGCCTTCTCCTCTTCTTCTCCTGCTTTCCTTCCTACTTCTGCTCCATCATCAGACCAAAGCGGGCTGAGGCCAGGCGACCCAACGCCGTCAAACGCATCTTTTTGGCGCACTTGCCTCCGCTTCCCTCCTCTTTCTTCTTCCCTTTTTCGTTTCCTTCTTTTTGTCTCGTTCTCGTTTCCCCTTTCTTTCTTTCGTTTTCGTACGGGTGTATCTTGTTCTGCCTTCTCCTTTTCTTCTCCTGCTTTTGTTTCTACTTCTGCTCCATCATCAGACCAAAGCGGGCTGTGGGCAGGCGACCGAACGCCTTCAAGCGCATCTTTTTGGCGCACTGTCCTCCCATTCCCTCCTTTTTCTTCTTTACTTTTTCGTTTCCTTCTTTTCCTCTCCCTCTCTTCTCCCGTTTCTTTCTCTCCTTCTTGTATGGGCGGCGTATCCTGCATGCCTGTTAGTAAATCATCCCATACAGCGTACTCTACTTCTTCTTCCCCTCCTGTCCTCCCGTCATCGTCTGCTAAAATTTGGCCAACATACTGCAATATATGCTGCCGCAGAATTTCTGCTGTATCTTCTTCTTCTGTTGCTGCTGTTGGCGCTGCTGCTTCTGTTGTCGCTATCGCTTCTGTTGCCACAGCAGCACTACCATAATCTCCAGCAACAAAGGGAGGAGTTACGGGGGGAGAGGCCTCTTCCTCCTCATCCGTTGACTCCTCTTGCCTTGTCCTCTTCGATGGCGGCACATCANGGAGAGGCCTCTTCCTCCTCATCCGTTGACTCCTCTTGCCTTGTCCTCTTCGATGGCGGCACATCATCCTCATCGCTACCACTAGAAGTAAGTTCTTCTTCTACCTCTTCCCCTCCTGTTTCGATCAATTCCATATCGTCCCACAGGAGAATAGAACCTGGGCCTAGGTCTTGTTTCCTGCGTCTGCGTCGTCTTACTTCTGGTGCATTTTGTTGTGTTTCTTCTGTCTCGTCCCCACACAAATCTTCAACGAGGCTGACTCCGTCGCCTGCCCCTTCTCCTTCACTGTCTGTTTTTTCCTCTTCTTTTGACTTTCTCCCCTTCCGCCCTGCCAGTCTTCTTCCTGCTGGTACATGTAGCTGCTTCTCCTTGTTTAATGCAATACAACGAGAGAGAAGATGAATAACAGCAAAGACAGAAACCAATAAAAGAAAGGTGACGACTAAACGCCCACTGCGCTGCCCCCTCCCCCCCAGGCCCCCGTATCTGGCTTCTTGTCTTTCGTATCCATCTCCTGATGAAGGAGAATACAAAAAAGACTCACTAAACAAATCGGTTGCAGCAGGCTCGCCATACCGCTCGAGGGGTACAGGGGGGACAGACATCGATGCTGCTTCTGGTCGCTTGCCTCGTTTGCCTTCTTTGCCTCTTTTGTCCTTTATTTTGATTGCTTTGTTTTTTATGTGTTTTCGTTTACTCTTTTCTCTGTGTCATGACATTCGTCTTTCGTGTTTTGTGGGCATATGCAGAAGAAGGTGCTTTCACAGGCCGGAGGGGAGCACAGAAGACACAGAAAAATTACAAGGGCGGCCAAAAACAAATTAAGCAGACAGANCAGGCCGGAGGGGAGCACAGAAGACACAGAAAAATTACAAGGGCGGCCAAAAACAAATTAAGCAGACAGAAACCAAACAAAAATGAAAGTAAATACGAACTATGGATACAACAAAAGTGGAAGACAAATATTTGAAACAGGGGGAGACCCCGGGAGCGGCGGTCTAATGGCCTGGTGCAGTGCGCTGCGGCTCGGCAGGGCAGGGAGGGTAGGGTGAAATGCCCCTTAGTTAGAACAGAAACCGAAACTTTTTAATTCTAAAGGGAACAAAACAGTTTGATCCGTTGTAATAGAGCCCTGAGCGCTGAGATTTAGACACGAATTGTCTAGAGATGACACCCCGTTGGGGTAGAGATGACACCCCATCGGGGTTTCGTCGAGTGGCAAGACGCGTAGGGACGGAAGACCCGATGGGGCAATGGACGACGAAACGAAATGTGGGGTATATTAAAGTTCATGACGCGAAAGGATTTCAGTCGATGGAGTAGGCAAAAATAGAAGATCCGATGAGCCTTGTAGCCCACACCCTAAAGGCCCTCCGGGAACTCGGTGATCGATACCTGAGGCCGCCTAGGTCCGCCGCAACCCATCGGCAGCAGCTGCACCGTGGATGTGTCTGGCCTCCAGGTTTACACTGTTGCTCGAGTTGATGACTGAGTATTCCTATTCTCAAGGTGATACTCGGCAAATCGAGTTTGCAGCATGAGTTAGCGCAGAAGCTGTCACTTGGTGTTGGCACGCTGCTTGTAAATGCCTGCAAACGTTCTACAAATACATTCAGATGTAAAGCACGCAGCAAAGGAAGCTTCGGTGAAGCTTCCTTGCGTGTACGCGTGGGGCTGGCTTGTACTACCAGCCGCAGNGCAGCAAAGGAAGCTTCGGTGAAGCTTCCTTGCGTGTACGCGTGGGGCTGGCTTGTACTACCAGCCGCAGCGGGTTGCGCTGCAACCGCACTTCTGCTTGCCTCCTCCCAGCAACATCCAGGCCCTGAGCTCAACGTCCAGTTCGCCTATGGCTAGGGGAAGGAGGTCAGCTCCTTTTGGGAAACTCTTGCTTTAATTCTTTACCTACATTGCGGCTCTCCTCCGTCCTAGGTAAAGGCCAGCGAACAAGCAGTATAGTGTTCCTAATTAGGAAGTGTGAATTTCCTTCTAGGAGGGAGAACGGGGAATCTAGCGTACATAGTAGAACAACAAAATTGTACTGGCCTACACTACACTTGGGGTTCAGTAGGGCGCCTCTGTGCATGTCGGCGCGGATGAATGTTTGGGAGTTGTCTATATAGTAAATGACTGAAATACCTGTTAACGATAGCACACCCGTAAATGCACTAAGCAGGGCCTTAAACGTAAGACGCGATAAATGGAAGAAGACCAACGGTCACTAGCATCGTATGTTTAATGACATGGGGTTCAGCAGGGCTGTCCTAGAACACTCGGGAACCCCTGGAAACCAATGCCTCAATGGATAGTTATGGAAGACGTAATTTGTAATTTCTCAGGTTATATATATTATAACGTTATCAGCGTAGAGGCCAGATAGGAAAAGGCTAGCATCCAATCGTAGACGCAGAAGTGTTTAGATTGGGCTCCCACACCTACGCGACAGCCGGGACAAGAGCGTAACTAGCAAGTGGTAGGCAGCAATTCCGTGATTAGCAAGGATGGGCAAGGAACGAACGATGAGGAGGAACGTGGTTCTCGGCGGGGGGTTAAGTAGGTTGACCGTTATATCTCCAAGAAAATTTCGGGGGTAGCCACTGTTCCGTCCCAGCATGCTACTGTGGCTGGTTTTCGTACTTACCCTCCTCGCAGGTTGTTCCCGCTGGTGGGTTATGCGCAGAAATCCGCTCTAACGGATTGCCGCCAACTGAATTACGCGTAACAGCGATGACAACATTTATTCTCCTCTCTAATGAATGACATCGCCTCTCTAACGAAACTAATAGAACTGATGTATTGTACCAATCACGCACTACAGTATGCTGCTCCGCGACGTAGTTGGACGGGAGAACACATTCCAATAGCGAAGGTATGGAACGCAACTAACGTTTCGCCGACAACGATTACTCCAAAATGTATGAGAAGCTGAGTTTTGGGGGGGGGTTGTCGAATGAACCCCACGACTTCCCTTCAGGGTGCTCCTGTGGATAGTTCCCGCAACCGGCATTCTGCTGAGTCGGGTCGTCGTCTGCACCCTCTACGTGGATTGTTCCCTCTGAGGGCTGCTGTGCGGTAATCCGCTCAAGCCGATACCTTCAAGTGATTCCCCTGCAATCAGTACATATAAAATCGAGTGCCGTAACCCATAAACGACCTCTTCTCTCTAACGAAGCTCATGCAACTCATGTATTGCAGTATCGGAGCACTACAGGCGGTCGCCTCATCTCAAGCGGACGATAGAGGGGGAGATAATTAGTAGAAGAGGTTTCTGCCGTTATTTAATATTTAATAAGCAAGTACAGAAGTTTTATCCATCTAATTTTACATAAAGATTACAACAAATAAGCGATGCAGCCGATATGACCAGCATCATGCGGTCTGGTGCTTGGGTTTGGCTGTGTAGAGCTTGCGCACTGCAATGCGATAGTTATATTAGGTTCGATATGGAGGCGATGCCATTCATTGCATAATCATTAGATGTTGAGTTCATAGTCAGACGTAAGTCAGTTAGCGGCAATCCCTTAGAGCACATTACCGCAGAGCACCCATCAGCGCGAACAAACCGCAAGGAGGGTGCAGACGATTACCAGCCGCATTAGCGTACCAGGACCGGGGACTACCCCCGGGAGCACCCCTGATGGTCCAACGGTAAACAAACCGAACAATACCCAGGGCGTAATTCCCCCTAATTTGGGGTTTTCTCTTTCAAT